GCCCGGGGTGCTCGGCCGGGGACCGGGACCGGCAGTGCTGGGCGGGCCGGGGGTGGCGGGCCCGGGGCCAGCACCCCAGGGTCCAAGCCGACCCAGGCTGGAAACGCCCGGGGGGGCCAGCCTGGGCCGCGCCTCCTCCCCCCACACACCTCTTACCTGCTTCAGGCTTCCCGCGAATCAAATGTTCGCGGGAAGCAGGGGAGGGGGCGGAGACTTTGGGGAAGGGGCGGAGTTGGGGCTGGGGGCGGGGCCAGGGCCCCGTGGAGTGTCCTCCTTTTGGAGGCACAAAATATGGTAACCCTATCTTCCCTCCCATTCTACACACATATTAAGCACTGAGCGTGGCCTCTTCAGAGACAGCAGCTTTGTGTATTCCACAGACACAACAGGTCCCAACACTCACTGAGACCTTGTGATCCATACTATATGTTTAATAAATGAGGGTAACCCATAAGTGACAGCACGCAGACCATCACGTGCAAGGACCCACTGTCTCTGCATGGATCAGCATGTATTCTTGCATGGTGGGACCTCTAGCGGCTGCAGATTGTACTTCTGGGTTAAAGAGGAGGGGCGTCTCTTTAGGGCCCTTTCTACAACTTTGTCGACTATAGGTTAGCCACCCCTACAATAGACAAACCCATCATGTTAGACAAGCAGCGCTGGGGGGAGACCCTGCTACTCTTACTTATTTACCTGCTTATCTTTTGATCTCTCCATTTTCCCATTGCTAGGATTAGCGCTCCTAAATTGTATTCTTGTTTAGCAGCACATGTCCAAAAACTGGGATTCTAGTGCCATTAGGCTCTCTTTGGTTTGGGAACATTTTATCTAGAGCTGGTCAAAATTTTTCATTTAGAAAATGAACTTTTTTTTGCTTTTTAATTTTTTCATTTAAGATGAAAAGTTGATTTTCAAAAACAAAATTGAAGCTGAATTTTTGAACAATACTTATAATTTTCTGACCAGCTTTTTTCACCCTTTTGGAGGCTGTATTTGGCTGGCTTGCTGGATAAGGCCCAGGACTGGTTAGAAAACTAGGTGGCCTTTGGCAAGTCACTTAATCTTTCTGTGCCTCAGTTTCCTGAACTGTATAAATGGGGATAATGACACTTATTCAACACAGTTAAACACATTAAGATCTTATTTGAGGTAGTGCAATCGTGATGCCTATAGTTAAAGGTGGTTTGACGCATTTGATTATAAAACCCTGTTTTCTGTCGCTTATAACTTTGCCCAACCTTAACCATTTAGCTGAAATTGTGAGCTGACTTTTTCCATGCTAGCTGTCTGTCTAAGACTGAAGATTTTTTGGAAATTTTTAGCAAAAATAGTTCACCTATTTCTCAGAAAGAATTTAGGGAAAAATATTATTTTGCCCATGTTGAAAAATTCTGAAAACTGTTTTGTTGAGAAATCCTAGTGCTTCTATTCTTTGGAGCAGGGAGTTGGAATTTGTCCAGAGGGTCACCTTGGTGTCAGGGATGTTCCTTTTGCTGTCCACCTGAAAAAATGCCCAAGGTCGGCAAGACACACACATGCACAAGCATGTTCCAATAAGCAATTTTTTTTACTTTGGAACTTGGACTGAGTTGCATATGCTGTGCGTGTTCAGGTCAAGGCCAAAAAGCCCTAAACCCCCACATTTTATATGTCGTGTGAATATGAACAATACTACTCTGCTAGATCCTACAAGCCTGATTCTGGTCTCACATTATTTTTACACCAGAATAAGTAAATGACGTTACTTCTGATTTATGCCATTATGAGAGGAGAATCAGGATTTATATTCCCCCTCCCACACACCTTTTCACAAAACCATTGTAAAGTTCCAACACCCCAGGTTTGCTTTAGGTTCTATACTAGTCCTCTCCTCCACAGTGACTGAAATGCTTTGACACAGATATGTCTGCTGTACACAGCAATCACAAATGGAGATTGCTGGACAGAACACAGAGTTTATCAGCTATAGGCCAGAGATTCTGATCCTATAACAAGGCAGACTGGGCTTTGATCTTACCTGACTCCCTGAAAATTTCTCACACTCTCAATCTCCTCCCCGCCTGGATGAGGATAAAAAAACCCCCACAAAAGCAAGTATTGCCTTGGCCAACAGAGGGTAATTCTGAAGTCTAATTAAATATTTGGCATAGGATAATTGTGGAAATCATGTCACAGGTTAGCTGGATGTGCAGCAAACTTCTTTCAGCTTGAAGGTGTGGGTGGTGGGCTTCCATCAGAGCCACTTACCCCTCTACACACTGATTCATGACTCACCCCTACCTCCCCACACAGTGTTTGCAATGTAAAGAAATCTCAGATAAATGGAATTATAATACATTTCACCCAAAGACACTTGTATTCTTTTTTTTTTTTATTTGAGAGAGTGTATTTGCAACACTGGAAAATACTTTTCATATAGGAGTCTTATTTTTGCTACTATACGCTGCATATTAAGAAAGTGATCTTGCATTTTTAGAGTGCTTTTCATCCAATTGGACCCCTAAGTGCTTTGCATATTGTGCTGTTTATACAAAACTGTATTTACAAGAGTAATTTTATCCACTATTGAAATGCAGCTACCTCTAGGATAAAATTTCAGCTACTGTTAAAAAGCACAAAACAACATGATCTAGCTGTTTAAGACAGGAAACAAGGAATAGCCTATCCAACTGAAATTACAGAGGGAATTAAGACAGACAGAATATGGCTACTCCAAACTGAAATTTGACCAGCATCCCAGGTTTAGTACTATGGAATTTTCAGTTACCACACAGAGTCACAGAACAGCATTTTGTAACAGCTTGCCCGTGTTTTGAACCAGCACTGACTCAGAGGGAAGTACCTGTCACCTTAAAAAGAAGAACCACAAAAATCACACGCCATCCCTCATCATTGACTTGCAGCTTAGAACCCAGCAGAACATCAGAATTGATTGAGTTGGAAATGAGGTGGTGGTGGCATTACACTTTCACTCATTTTGAGAGACCATTATTATCTTCTGTTCTCTTTAGGGTCTTCTGCTGAGCTCATCATCATAGTATTTGACTGTTCTTAAGGTGCCTGTTGAACGGATAGATGCAAAATTGTCTGCTTTGGGTGGTGTATGTACGTAGCAAGTTCAGGCAGCTTCCCTGAAATAGGAAGGAGAGTTCTGGCTGAGTAGGAGAAAGCTGAGCATCATTTCAGTGGGAGTATTAAATATTGATGTGGTTTTTTTTAACATTGATGTCACTGATTTATTTAAGGAGCTGTGCAGTATGCTGCTGGTGATAAATCTTTCAGATGCCAAGCTCATCCAGCTGTAACCGTGTTCTGGAACTGCAAAGTCTTTTACTACATGTATTTCTGCTGGTAAGTCCAGTTCACATGTGGAATGTCACAGCTGATGGAAAACATGGGGCATGCTTGAATTCTCC